TTACTTAATTAAAATAACTTACAATATGAATATAAAAAAAAAAAATTTGATTGCATGATTTTCAACTCAAAAGTCACAAGTCAACTACTTTTTTGAAAAAGAAAATTGAAAAGTGGGTTTGACCAATTCTCACTTTTCAATATATGTGAACGTATTACAATTTATCAGTTATACGTATTATGATTTATCAGTGACTAATTTATAATATTTAATTTAGTAAAATCGAAAATTTAAAGTTGAATGGATTAAAATTTTAATAAATTTATTAGATTTTCTTGGTAAAAAAAGTATTGAAATTGAAATGCATTGAAATATATATATATATATATATGTTATAAGTATGAAGTTGGTCTGATTTTCAAGGCAGTCTGACTTTTAAGCCTCCAACTGCTTTTTTTGTTCGTACCTGCCCACTCTCAAAAGGCGTTTACCAAAACACAAACTGACATGAATTATTAGGTCACTGATTTTAAGGCCTTTCAAACTCCATGCCTTTTCTTTGGACCTTCATAATGTGCATTTACTCCACTAACAAATTTATTTTATATATATATATATATATATTTTTTTTTATAACATAATTTTATAAATGAGTGATTTATATATATATATATATATATATATGATAATCATAACAAAATATTTAGAATTTGTTCAGTTAAATTTCAGCGATCATAATAACGGTAAAATTTTTTTATGTTTAAATGATGTTATATTAATGTATGTTAATGACATATTTTTATTTAGATAATAGAATAATATGATTGTATTTTTAATTAAATTATTAATTTATTCTTACATATTATATATAATATTAAATAATATAAAATAAATATATAAAAAAATTATTTATCAATATAATTATATTTATATTTAAATAAATAATTATTATATATAATTAAATTAAAATTTTATATTTAATAAAATAAATAATAATTATTTATGTTATTATATTAATTTAATAAATTTTTAATTATCATGACATATATAAAATTAATTAAATTAGATGGAGATGTATAATGAAAACCAACCAGAATGCCTACTAAATATCACTGATTCGGTGGTTTAAAAATTCATTCTAAAATTTATCAGTCAAATACCATTTGTTACTATTAGAAATTGAAACAAACACGATTTTCTCACGTCAGTAAAATACCGTACATTAAAATTCTACTATTTATCATGATTCAAACAGAAGGTTAATTGAAAATAATTAAAATGTACAATTCGATTCAAATCCATAATCTCGGGGAATTCTAGAATTGATAAAAAAATTTTATTTGACTAATTAAAATTTTGATGTCTATTTTAAAGAAATTTATCGAGAATATCGAATTTGTGACTTTGCGTATATATATTGTGTTAATAATGTCTGACTTATAACATTTGATTTTCGATAACTAAATTGAGATATGTCTTAGTGGGTTAAAACGTATCTTAAAATATTATTCTCCGAGAATAAATGTATTTTCTTTAAAGAAAAAATAAGGTGTGTAAATAGTTTATCAGCTTTCTACACAGATTTCATGATATTATTATATGGGTATATGTATATAACTATATACATATATTACTGGCAGTAGATACATATTTCAGTGATTTCATAGAATGGCATGCAAAGGATAAGTGAAATTCAGTGGGTGACTCACATGCATCACACACCCACATTCATTACAACATGACATGTTAGAAAGCTGAATTTAATAGAAATCCAAAGCCAGGGTAAAGCAGCCAATTCTTTAAAATTGTGTTTCCACAAATTTAGACTCTCTGAGTCACTCTCAATCCCCCAACTACCTTCCAAAACTTTTCATAGAATCTATACATACACAAATATATGCATATATACAAATTCAGACTTCAAAACTATCTCCATTTCTCACTCACCCACCATATTAATTTTCATTTTTTTAAACTATAAAGAAAGGAAAAAAAAAAAAAAAACTTTCTTCCTTCAAATTCTTATCCCAACTCTCCCAATTCTCTTATATATATATATATATATATCTTCGAGGACCACTTCAAGATATTACATGAAATAACCCAGAAGAAAGAACAGAAACATGGACTGGTTCTCCTGGTTATCAAGAACCAATCTTGACCCATCTCTGGTTTACGACTACGGCCTCGTCCTTGCTCGAAACGAGCTTCAAAAGGAGGATTTGGTATATTTCAACCATGAGTTTCTGCAGAGCATGGGCATAAGCGTGGCCAAGCACAGGCTGGAGATATTGAAGCTTGCTAAGAAGGAAGACGGTGGCCTTGTCAAGCTCTTTTCTGCACTTAACAAGACTAGGACCCGGCTCGCCAAGCGCATTGTCAAGTGGGTTTTTCACGACGACTCGTCTGTGAAACGCTTGCCGGAGCCGCCGTGCAGGGAGCAGCGGAAATCGGGAGCACCGGCAACGAAGAAGGCGATTGAGTTTGAGCCGCCGGTGTTGATGGGTAGAAGAATAGCCAAGTCTGGGCCGATAGATAGGCGGATGCAGGAGAAGTTGATGCTTGACAGAAATGTCCATGAGAGGCTGGTGTTTACTTATAGGAGTCCTGTGTTATCTGGGCCTCTTGATGGGAAGTCTTATAATGAGAAGATGAATAAGAGCCTGAAATTCTCGGGTTCTATCAATGGCAGACCAGCTAGTCCAAGAGTATACACAGATTATACCAAGGAGAAGATGGGTGGTGGTGGTGGTGGCTGTGGGGATGATGATGATCATCATCAATGGACTTCATTATTCCAAGACATGGAACCCACTTGACCCATATTGAAATTCTTCCTGTGTTTTGCTTCAGTTTTTTTTCCTGAGTGGTGAGAAAATTTGATATTCTCACGGTTTATTTTTGATTTTTTCCTATTTTATATTCTGGGATTTTCGGATATATATATATATATATATATTTATGTACGTGGTATTCCAGATGTAGGGAGGGGTGCTCTTTCAGTATTTTGTGGTTAAAATAAATTTCACTTCTTTCTGCAAAAATTTGAATTTATTTCTATTATGGTCTT